TGAGTGTGCTCTTGGCACGGACGTCCTTGAGGACAGACAAGAGGAGTTTGAGTTCTTTGCCGCTACTTTACCTCATCTCGTGTCCATGCTGCTTGCACCTGAGGGAGACCCGGATGCACCAGACATCCCGACCCCGCGCTCTTACGCAGAGGCGATAGAGGGTCCCTACTCCTCTCAGTGGCAGACAGCCATGGACGCAGAGATGGCTTCCTGGAAGTCCACAGGCACCTACGTCGACGAGGTTCCCCCGCCTGGGGCGAACATCGTCAGTGGCATGTGGATTTTCAGGGTGAAGCGGCCGCCGGGTTCTCCGCCTGTCTTCAAGGCGCGTTACGTTGCACGAGGCTTCAGTCAGCGAGAGGGAGTTGACTTCTTCCAGACCTTCTCCCCTACCCCGAAGATGACCACTCTTCGGGTTCTGCTGCACGTCGCCGCTCAGCGTGACTACGAGCTTCACTCTCTTGACTTCAGCACTGCTTTCCTACAGGGCAGCCTACACGAGGAGATCTGGCTGCGTCGCCCACCTGGCTTCACTGGGTCGTTTCCTGCTGGTACCCAGTGGAGCCTCCGGCGGCCAGTCTACGGTCTCCGCCAGGCGCCCCGTGAGTGGCACGACACACTGAGGACGACTCTTGCGGCTCTTGGGTTTGCTCCTTCTACAGCTGACCCGTCGCTGTTTCTACGCACCGACACCTCTCTGCCGCCGTTCTACGTTCTCGTGTACGTCGACGACTTGGTCTTTGCTACTGCTGTCACTGAGGGACTCGCCCACGTGAAGTCGGAGCTGCAGAAGAGACACACGTGCACAGACCTGGGTGGCTTGCGGATCACCCGGGACAGAGCACAGCGCACCATTACCCTGACTCAGTCACACATGGTGCAGCAGGTCCTTCAGCGCTTCCGCTTCACGTACTCCTCGCCACAGTCCACTCCTCTGCCTACCGGTCACTCGCTCTCAGCTCCACCTTCGGACGAGTCCGTAGAGCCGAGTGGCCCGTATCCAGAGCTTGTGGGCTGCCTCATGTACCTGATGACCTGCACTCGACCTGACCTTGCCTACCCTCTTAGCATCCTAGCACGCTATGTCGCTCCTGGCAGACACAGGAAGGAGCACATGGATGCCGCTAAGAGGGTGTTGCGCTACTTGTGCAGTACGTCGGGCATGGGGCTCGTGCTTGGAGGACGGGCTCGAGTTGTCCTCACTGGTCACGCAGACGCTTCTTGGGCTGACGACTTGGCTACGCAGCGGTCGTCACAGGGTTACACCTTCAGCCTTGGCTCCGGCTCTGTTTCTTGGCGGTCTACCCGCTCTTCTTCTGTTCTCAGCTCCAGTTGTGAGGCTGAGATCTACGCAGGGGCCATGGCTGCACAGGAGTTACACTGGCTCACCTACCTGCTGACCGACCTGGGAGAGATGCCTCGTTCTCCTCCACTGCTGTATGTCGACAACAAGGCCATAATTGCCTTGTGTCAGGAGCACAGACTGGAGCACAGAACGAAGCACATCGCTCTGCGCTACTTCCTTGCTCGAGTGTTGCAGCAGCGTGGTCAGCTTCGTCTTGCTTACGTGGCCACTCAGGCCAACACTGTCAGAATGTGATGTTTGTGTAGCCTGCAGTGGGGTACTCTGTAGCGAGTACAGCCCGAATGAGGGTTTGCTATATCTACTCAACTGCATGCTAGTGAAAACCTCCTCTTTCCTGTTTCTGATTCTTGCCTAGACTTTCTGACATGGTATCAGAGCAGGTCGACCCTCCTGGGTCGATCCTGTGGGTGGGCCCCACCCGATGCTTCCGCTGCTCTACTGCTGTCGCGCGCCTCGGGCGCGCAACCCTTTCTTCCTGCCGCGCGCTCGGAGCGCGCGGCGCTTTTCATCCCGCCGTGCGCTCGGGGCATGCGGCGGTTTCCTGCTTCGCGCGGCGGTTTTCTGCCCGTCGTGGCGCCCCCGGGGACCTGCGCGCTGCCCCCCGTCGCCCGTCGCGGCGCCCTGGGGGCCCGCGCGTCGCCCTCCTCCCGTCGCCTCGTCGCGGCGCCCTGGGGGCCCGCACGCCGGCCCCTCCCGTCGCCTCGTCGCGCGCCTTAGGGGCCCGCGCTTCCCCCCCTCCCGTCGCCTCGTCGCGGCACCTTGGGGGCCCGCGCGTCGCCCCCTCCCGTCGCCTCGTCGCGGCGCCTTGGGGGCCCGCGCGCGGCCCCTCCCGTCGCCCGTCGAGCCGCCCTCGGGGGCCCGTGCGCGGCCCCCCTCCCGTCACCCGCCGTGGCGCCCTCGGGGGGCCCGCGCCCTGCTCCTTCGTGGCGCTCAGGAGACCCCCCCGCCGCCTCCCTTTCCCTCCGTGAACCGCCCCTGCTGCTTCCCGCGCTCCTGCCTGCGTTAGGGTTTGGGGGTGGCGGGCATGGGGGTGAACGGTGTGGGTAACCTGCAGCTCCTCCTACTCCTCCGTCTCCCACTGCTGCAGCTGCCGCTGAGGGGGGTGGGTGTGTGGGAGCCGAGGGTTTAGGGTTTAAGGGGGGTGCCGTGGGAGTGGAGCTAGGGGCACAGCAGGGAGTGTGTGAAAGGGGTGTGGGACAGTTTGGGGAGGATGACAGGAGGTGGCCGTTGTGACGTCTGCAGCGCCAGTAGTCCGGGGGTTGAGTACTCCGGTAGCCCAGCGAGCCTGCTGCTGCCAGTCGCCCGTGGGTCTGTTGCTCCTGCTGCTGCTTAGCGCGGAGCCAGTTACTCCTGTAGTCCGGAGGTTGAGTGCTCCGGTAGCCACCGTGCGCGCCGTTCCTGTTGCCCGTGTGTCTGCGGCTTCACCCGTCGCCTTCTATCTTCACTCCTCTCACAGTCTCTCCTCCTCCTCACTTGCCCTCTGTGACTGCCTCTAGCTTTGCTTATCATTGTGAACTATTGCTCTATGACTGCTTGTTGTGTTGATTGTACCCCACTTTGACTATGGGGGTGTGTCAGAATGTGATGTTTGTGTAGCCTGCAGTGGGGTACTCTGTAGCGAGTACAGCCCGAATTAGGGTTTGCTATATGTACTCAACTCCATGCTAGTGAAAACCTCCTCTTTCCTGTTTCTGATTCTTGCCTAGACTTTCTGACAAACACTGCTGATGTCTTCACCAAGGCCCTTCAGCCTTGTGATCATCAGCGTTTCTGTACTGTTCTAGGCCTTGTGCCTACTGTGCCTCACTTGCTTACTTCTTGACTCTGCTTGTACTGTGATCTCTATACATATACCTGCATGCTTACACTTGCTAGGTTGTGATCACTGTATTGCTTGTTCTCCTTTATATAACTCTGCATGTGAACTGGCCTTGTGGCCATTTGCTTGTGCTCGGAATGCGTGGTGACGTCGTGATCCACCCTGAGCTTGCTTTGCCTCTCTTGACCGGTCTTGTGACATCTTGTTCTCCCCCACTTTGCCTATGGGGGTGTGTCAAACTTATATGCTATAGTCTGTGTAGGCTGTAGTGGGGTAGTTCATATAGGGTACAACACTTTTAGGTTTCCTACTTGTACCCACCCGCTTTCTAGTTCAGTCATTCCTTCGTTCTCATTCTGACACCCACCTCCTCCTCCCTGCTGACTGGTACGTCAGCCTGCTTCGCCCGTATGTCCCATCCACCAGCCAACTGCCTCGCAACCGCCCCGCCAGCATGACACGACCGCCGACAGAGCCAATCATCACGCCTGAAAAAATACTGAGCCACCGAGTTCGTGACCCACGGAGAGCCCGCAGGATCGAATTTCTGATCCGCTGGAAAGACCGCACGCCCACCGAAGTCAACTGGGTCCCCCTGGATAGAATCGAGAACCACCCTGTCCTCACCGAGTACCTGCACACCCGAAACTTTCGAGATGTACACGCGCTCTCGTAAGGAGGGCCTCCGTAGGGAGGAATGTAGTGTAAGGAAAAATCATTTTCCTTACTTCGCGCCCCTGCTTACCGCGTACATGACCATTCCCGCCACCAGCACCCAACAGTATAACGTTACCCGTTCGCGACACTCGCCTCGACCACGACTCCCGCCACTGTTCACGATGCGACCCAACCTCACGGTTCGGTTGGTAACCCGCGCTCCGGACCTCCTCCTCGACATTTCCGAACCTCAGCGCTAGGCCCGTAGCGCACCCCAATTTCTCGCGTTACCGTTACCACGCTAGCTTCGTTATATGTTATTCGCTCATGCCTTCGCTCAATGTATTGTTTGCTTCGATAGTGCAATTCTCGCTCGCTCGCTCAATTGCACTCGTAACAGAAACGTTATCATGCCTTTTATGCGTATGTTAATACCGGAACCATGTAGACACGCCTTATTTCGACATCTATGTACCTATTCAACCAATCAATTACTGTACCTGTTCAAGAGAACGGGCTGGCGTCGCGTCCAACATCCCCTCACTTCCGTCACTTGCGGCGCCCCGTCGCACGTCGCTGCTGATCCCCACAGGTTGTTGCTCTCGAGGCGCGTACAGAAATGGCCACATTTTGTCGGGAAGTCGTCTCTGTACATTTCACGGGCGAATTTGATTGAAATGGGGAAATTCAAGGATGAGGTGAGGCGGTCCTTCTGCCATCTCCCTCGACACTCACCAACACTCGCCTTCAAAACGCAGTCCAGAACCCACTCAACTTACCTTTTGGCTTTCTTTCGACTCGACGAGTGCTACTCCATCCGTTCTATCTCTCGCAGCAGAAGCTTTTCATACCCTTTTGAAGGCTTGAAAAAATGGTTTCGTTGCGGAACTTGTTGCTGTCAGGTGCGTTTTATCGTTTTTTGTCTCTCCTCACCTGTCTCTCCAAGACGAGTTGTCTCCCATTGTTCCTTGGTGGGACAACTAGCTTGCCACAAGCCCCCCTCGCTCTCTCGCGGCGAGTACTACGCCGTCACATCGCTTTCTTACAGAGATGTGTAGATCCTTCTATTTAATGGAGGCCTGGTGTATAGACTCGTTTTTGCCAGTCTTTGACTAATCAACGCATTTTTCCATCTCGACCGCTCCCAACCGTTTGCAGGTCTTCTCGTCTTGTCACTCGTCGCCGCCACACATGCCCAAACCCTCGCCGCGTTCCTCCCTTTCCCAGGCCTCCCTCGATGTACGTCCTGCAATATGCCAACCTCATGCAGTAGCCCCACACTCGCTGTCGCTACGCCTGTCGCCACGCTTGTCGCCACGCCTGTCGCGACGCCTGTCCCCATGACTATCGTCAAGCCTGTCGCAACGCCTGTCGTTTCCATGCCTCCCCGTCGTATCTTTCAGCGGCTCTGCATTTTCCCCGTTTTGTCTGAAACGTTTACGCACCTTCTTCGTGCCCATTCCATCACTCCAGGTGTGCTTATAGCGGGTTTGGAGCCGAATAAAGTGCTCAAGTACCATCCTCTGGGTGACATTGGAGCAACGGGCACTCTCCGCATCTCCGTCTTTCAGTGAGTCTCAGAATTCTGTGTTGCAAGTGTTGTGCTATTGTTTGAAGTACCTTAGAGGTACCGCCTTGCTTCTTTTTTGAAGTTTGAGGTTGGATTGCAAGTAGGACGTTCGGGTATTCTAAGTATTTTCGTCAACCACCACCTCTCCGTCTGTTTACCCTCGTTCCCAGGATGCGTGAAAATATTAGCCTCATACTCAGTCGACAGCAGCCTTTTTTTTTAGTCGCCTGATAATTCCTCTCCGTCTGTTCATTCTTAATTCCAGGATGCAAGGGAAGATTAACCTCAAGTTCAGGGTCGACGGCACCCGTCTATCCGGCCCGCTTCCCCCACACAACATCACCGTCTTCGACTCGCGCTCGGGCGGCGCAATGGGTCTCCCGATCTTCGGGCTCAACGGCAAGTGGACCTCCACCCCCACGGCTTCGCAAGTCTCGCTGCGCACGTGGATCATGGACGCGGGGAATAAGTTCCCGCCGGGGTCGACTCTTTCGTATTACGATATGGTGAAGCAGGTCGATTTGAGCCCGCGGAGCTTCTTCGGGTCGGTTACGACCGAAAGGTACAAGTGGGGTGCGCTGCGGGGGACGTTCCAACGTGGCGCTGTGAACATGATGGTGCCAGTACCCATGTGCTAAGCGTGGTGGTAGAGGTCTTCGGCGGAAAACTTCCTAGTTTGCCACTTAGTTGTTTTTCACGGTCAAGCACATTGCTTGGTATCTAACGTCATTTATTGTTCAATGTTTGCTTAGAAAGTGTAATATGAACCAGCCTTTTCCTTCTTATTGACTCCTTATAGCAGCTACGATTAGGGCATGTGGGTTTGAAGTGCGTTATCATGATGGGAATGGTGACCTAAACTAGTGTTGATGGAGGTATGGCTGTTGCAATGATGAACACATAATACACGGTAGTTGTGAGGGTGAGTCATAAGCTAACATAGATAGTGGTAGAGTTCTGTGAGTTTGAGAGTTGTGTTGTGATGTGAGTTTGAACTAGATTCACACGCATTCACTTGCTTCAAGGAAAGATGGTGTTGGTGAAATGAATAGTGCCCAAATAGGAGTTTACAGTAGCGCGTATTATTGTGGGTGTGTTGAGTGTACTGGTTGTGCAGTTACGAAAACAATATCGTCGTCAGCGTATGACGGTGATCACCGACAGTTTTCATCGCACAAGTCGTGCTTGGTGGTCGACTGACTGTCGCCAGCGGGTTTCCTCATGGGCAACAGAACAGGGATACGAACGAACCGACAAACCCTTCTCCCATCCACCCACACCCCACGTTGCTGACCTGCGAGCGACGTGCGAAAACGCTTATTCTGACCTGCGAGGATCGCATGCTGGGGTGCACCACATCGCGCCGCGTCGGTAACGATGGGCGCGAATTCTCTTCAACTTACTTGGGGGGAAAGAAAGTCGGAAATTGTGAAATTCCTCCTCCCACTTCCCTCCAGCCGTATTTCCGCAACCAACATCCATCAGGAACGAATTTACCGTGCACATGCAGCCCACCCATCCACCACTCCCCCATCTGCCTCGACATATTCGGCACATGAATGAGCTGATAATATGCTTATAGCAGGCAGGTTGATTGCTGTAATAGTACGCTCAGAGCATCACCCATTGCTAGTGAAACCACTTGCGTTACGCTTCCTCGTTCTCACAACGATCACACAGAGAAGCTGCCGCTGATTCGCAGATGGCGTTTCAAATCGATCGCACTCTTCCAGGTACTGTTGTTGTTCAATCAGAGAGCATCCGTTCTTGTACTGCTCTCCTTGACTCAAGTGCAAAAGAGTCGTTACCCTGACGACAGTGACTGCCGTCCGTGCAATCGAGAAAAGAAATCACCGAGTCCCTTTCCTCCGCTGTGCTGCAATCTGCAGGCTTGCTTCTCCTACTATTGCTCTTCGCCGCCGCAGCCGCCGCTACAGCCGCCACTACAGGCGTCGTTACTAAGGGAGTCGGACCTGTCGGAGCAGTTGTTCCACCGCCAGGCATTCTACAATGTTCGTTTCCGCCCCCTCACGCATACGTCGTCTATTGTTTAGGAGCCTCAAAAACCTTCTAGGCGTCGGAGCAGTCGTTCCACCGCCAGGCCTTTTACAATGTTCGTAATCCGTCCCTCACGCATACATCGTCTGCCCCCTCACGCGTCTCCCCCCTCGCGCATACGTCGTCTGCCCCCTCACGCATACGTCGCCCACGCGTACGTCGCCCGCCCCCTCACGCATACGTCGTCTGCCCCCTCGTGCGTCTCCCCCCTCGCGCAAGTGTTTTTTGGGTCAAAACACACCTTTTACCACGTAGCGTCATCTCCCCTCTCGATCTAATGCCCATTTGCCTTCTGCAGGGATAGAAATCATCTACCTTCGGGAGTTTCCACGTACTTTCGGAACAACCGCTAGTCTTTAGTTCGACTCCCTTTCCACTCATTTCACCCATGCCCTCGCACCACTACTGTCCCCGCTAGTGACTGCCACGCCTCTTGCTCCCGCCCTGATTGTCACACGCAAGTACTTTACGAGTCCTATTCCTAAGCCACTGAATCCATCACTCTCCTGTATTGTCACACCTCTCTACTGCCACATCCGTCATTGTCACACGCAGGTAACTTGCGGGTGGACCTGAAGGACAACGCCGTGATCAGCTCGTCGCTCGGCGGAGACCTCGGCGGCACTGGCGATCTCAACATTTACGTCTACAGGTACGAACAAATGCGAACACTTACGTTTACAGGAACGAATAATTACGTCTTTAATAACGAACACAATCTTCTCGATTTGTGCCTACAAGCAAAACAGCTATGAATGCCGTCGTTATCCATCTCAACCACCCGCTTTCTTTGTCCGAGCAAAACAAGTATCTGACCTCACGCCTCGTACGACCTTGTTCTGACCTTCGACATTCCGCATTCGTTTACCCCGTATCTCTCCCGAATTTAGCTCCCTACACCTTTTTCTTCTCTCTGTGTTGATTTTCAATGTACTTCCAATATGGGATTCGTTCGCGGCACTCCGCAGGTATCAAGGCGGGTTGGATGTTCATATCAGCTACAACACGCACGAGCTCTCCCTCCCCATGCCGCCTCTCAACCAATCCATTAACCTCGGTACACGTGGCTCCAACGGTGACGTAGTGTGGAATATTGAGGGCACGTGGACGCAACGAAACGAGGACCAGTTGGAGTTGAAGCGCATTTTCAAACGCGCGCCGCAAGTCATGATCCCCGGTCATATCCGTTTACAAGATGGTGAAAATGATTGACCAAAATCCAGCTAAGTACTACGCAACAATCTCTACAGACATGTATCCCGAGGGAGCGATTCGCGGGCAATTCATGCGCAGATTTTCCGGGCCTAGATGCTAGGGCCTAACCTCTGCAAGTGGACTCGACTCGGGCCGTTGCAACTTGCATGTAACTATGTGTACTTAATAAATATACAGTTGGGAACACCCGGGGCATAGCTTCGTAGGTTTCTCATGGGAAGGCCTTCACTTTCCTGCCTTGATGCACCACCAGGGGCTCCTAGGGGTCTGCCTGACCTGACCCCACCGAAACCACACAGGGCACTGGTGAAAGGGGAAGAGGGGGAGAGGGAGAAAGGAGAGAAGGGGTGAGGATTGTGCGATGTCTAAAAAGAACCAGCTTTTTTGTGTCTTCCTTGCTCCATTGGCCCACCCCCACACGTTAATTCCGCAGTAAACCAGTCTCCTATGCGATGTGTGTCACCTGCTCCTGTTCCGCGGATCCTGCCACCTGTTTGCACAAGCCCATGAGCACCCTGACTAACAATTACGGGTGTCTAGGACTCTAGGTACAGCCCCCGTCAATCAAGCCGATGTCGGAGCAACAGCGCTGATGCACTGTTGTCGCCGACAGAAGGCATCTTGACGTGTGCAGCAGCACACGATTATAACAAACCCCGCCATGTTCAGCCGCTGATAAACCTTAAATTTGTACAGCACGTGTTCTCTGAGTGTGGTGCCATACTCTAAGCCTGAGCTTCAATCTAAGGTACCTAGTTCCAAGTCCAGTCCCCTACTGGTACATGAAAAGCTATACAGGAAAACGGTACAGACCAAATATGGAGCACTAAGAAAACATTCAGTAACATTAGAGTACCGGTACAATTATGCCAAGGTTACCGTACAAGGCCCGCATCTTGATTTCTTACACCCTAAACTCTGTACAGAACAAAATCCCATGCGATAAAAATAGAGAAAAGGTCCTCAGCATCGCGAGTTTGAGCAGAGAGCTCCCACATGCCATACGCCTCCACACTCCACCCCTCTTCTTACTTTCCTGATTCAGGATTGCTCGCCATCCATCGTGCTCCACTTCCCACTGATGCCTGCCTGGAACTGACATGATGCCACGCCACACCATAACATCACACACCAGGGCATGCCACACCATGGCATGCCACACATTGACATGCGACACCAGGCACATCGAGCATTCAAAGCCATGACATACCACACCATCCCATGCCATGTTACAAAATACCACAATTTGACATACCACGCTTGGAGATACCATGATATACATGCCACGCTACAACATGCCACACCACAAGATAGAACAAAGAAACTTACCACAGAACAAGACACACCACACTACTGCAGACTAGACAATCACATGCCAATGACATGCCACACGATGACATGCCACACGAGGGCAAACCACACTCCAGCATACCACACTCCAGCATACCACCACACTACAGCACACCACCACACTACAGCACACCACCACACTACAGCACACCACCACACTACAGCACACCACCACACGACAGCACACCACCACACTACAGCATACCACCACACTACAGCACACCACCACACTACAGCACACCACCACACTACAGCATACCACCACACTCCAGCATACCACACTACAGCATACCACCACACTACAGCACACCACCACACTACAGCATACCACCACACTACAGCATACCACCACACTACAGCATACCACCACACTACAGCATACCACCACACTACAGCATACCACACTACAGCATACCACCACACTACAGCACACCACCACACTACAGCATACCACCACACTCCAGCATACCACACTACAGCATACCACCACACTACAGCACACCACCACACTATAGCATACCACCACACTACAGCATACCACCACACTACAGCATACCACCACACTACAGCATACCACCACACTACAGCATACCACCACACTCCAGCATACCACACTACAGCATACCACCACACTACAGCATACCACCACACTACAGCATACCACCACACTACAGCATACCACACTACAGCATACCACCACACTACAGCACACCACCACACTACAGCATACCACCACACTCCAGCATACCACACTACAGCATACCACCACACTACAGCACACCACCACACTATAGCATACCACCACACTACAGCATACCACCACACTACAGCATACCACCACACTACAGCATACCACCACACTACAGCATACCACCACACTCCAGCATACCACACTACAGCATACCACCACACTACAGCATACCACCACACTACAGCATACCACCACACTACAGCATACCACCACACTACAGCATACCACCACACTCCAGCATACCACCACACTATAGCACACCAC